AGTATTAGGATCAGGGTTTTGTTGAGATCTATTAGGTTCATTAATATTGGCATTGTCATCATTATTTGAATCTGTCACAATAACATCGTCGTCTTCTGGATCTTTAGTATGTGGTATTTGGTTCTTATTAGTTTTAGAAAGAGTTTGGTTAGAATTCTCTGGTTGCTAAGAGTTAGAAGTTTTGGATGGGTTGGTAGAGTTAGGATTAAAGAAAATATCTGGTGAAATTTTAGAAATCTTGAAGCAGATTTTAAATTTGATGTGTATAATGCTTTAAGCACAAGGAAAGCATGTTTCTTTATAGATTTTGGTGATTTCTGAAATGGATAGCTTGTAGGATTTTAGAATATGGAAGTAAGTAAGAACTCTAGCGAGATAATCTGTTTTAATTGGCTTGGTAGTGATTTTATTGATAGCTTGTTGAAAGTGCATGTTGTTAGGGGGCTGCCAGAAATCACCTGATTTTAGTTTACTATAAGGGCTACCCCCCTTCCCCCCACCTGACTAAAAAAAAAAAAAAAAAAAGCTCTGAACAAGGATACAAATCTGTAAAAATAAATTAATTGCTAAATATATCTCCAATTGGCGTCATATAATCCTAATATGAACCTGATTTAAACCAGATATTTGTCATAATTAAAAGACTTTTAGGATACAAGTTGGGTTCATATAGGTATTCAATACAAGTCAAAATATCGAAGCTATAAAGCAAGCTTTATCAATTTACTTATAGAGATATCAGCATTCTGATATGGTATTTGAACTCCTGAATGAACCCGATTTGTATATCTATTTCAAATCAAGTTCATATTAATTATGTAACTCTTTCTTTCAAAGAGTTGCTGAGTATACTTATCATCAAAGCTAACAAAAACAAGAACTTCAAGAGAAAAAAACTGCAATGCAAGTGCGATTCACCAACATTTGATCATGGCTTTTTTTCTATTCCACTTTCCCAAAGTCCACCTTCCCGAAGTCTACCTTCCCGAAATGCTATTGCTCTGATTCCATAATACCAATATCCCTTTTTCCGACAGGATCATTTCTGATTTTGTTCGTTTTAGCTGAAATCACTTCACCAACAACTTACTTCGCGACAGTTTATTTCTGGACATTGTCGTTAGGGACAGGTTTGAATAGAGTTAAGGTTAGTGCAATTTTTAGAAAACTTAATTTCAATTAAATAAACTTGTCAATTGATTGTCAGTAAAATGGCGATCTATTTATGCCCGTTAGTAAAATAGATTATCAGTATGACGACCTTTGCAAAATGGTATTTCAGAAAAATGGGCTTTGGGAAGTTAGCCCGTAACTTTTTGTGCCATCATGTACCCGTGCACTATTATTTTCCCACCCTATTGGCATTGGTTTAAATAATTCTAATTAAAACAAGCTAATTTAATGCAGCTGTGGGAAAAAATATATGTGTAAATGTGATTTATTTAAGCCAATGCAGAGGTATAGAATCGGGCCATGTCAATGTTGGATGCTGAATGATTTAAACCGGTGCCAAGGCATAGAATCAGGGCATATCAAGCATGTATAATAAACGTATAAAATTAACTTGGATATTATATATAAAAAATGAAAGCCTTGTATTTTTGGTCATTAAGTTTATTAAATTTTAATAAAAAACTAAGACCAGGCTCACTCTTAAAAATAAAATTTGCTTTATCATATTTATACGAATTTTACAGAAGGGTCACCAAAATTTTTTATAATCTTGGGGTAAAATTGATCAATTCCGATGTATTCTGACGTGACTTCTTTGTATGAGTTGGTTAATTTGAATAATAAATTCTCAACACCGCATCTATTTCGAAATAGAATAGAATTTAGAAGAATGTTGTTCTGCATTTTTGGTTTGATGTACCGAGTAAATAATAATCTATACATAAATAAAAAAAATTAATTATTGCAATGTAGTAAAAATATAATCGAATGAAATATAAAGACTTATCTGTAAACATTTCTCATCATATTAATTATAAAAAAGTTAATTTTTACCAATCAAAAAGTAAAAAAAAAAAATTAAATAAAATGCAATAAAAAAATTATATATTAAACCCTTTCGTATAAGTTTTTAGTGCTAAATTTTGTTATTGAAATGCAAACGTTT